AGCTTAGAAGAGGGACTTGGAAGTTGCCAACAGTCTTCTTAATCAGTCCATGTACTGAATTTAGCATAGATTCCACAGAGATACAAACTTAAGCTCCTGGTCCTTTTCTCATCCCTAGCTTCTGCAATTGGCCCACTGAAATGCTAGGGTACAGTATTTCACTTCGCTCCTGGCAACTTTGAATAAATTCACCTTCCCTCCATTGGATTCCCAATCTCTGTGTCCAATGTGGCATCAATTAAGACTTGCCAATCAGATTTGTCAATCTTTTTATTTCTCAAGGTGGCTTAAAGCCAGAATGTCTGCCTTCTCGTTTACTATTTAGAATACTAAAATGCTTTTGTGCAGATGTACGGCCCCTATCAAGCAGCCTGAAACTTGACAAAACCACAGACATCCAACAATATATCTCTACTGAGATTTAAGCAGCCCTCCAGCAACTCACTCTCTTATTTATTCCATTAATGAAATCATGCAGTCAGAACAGAACAAGAAGCAACTGGGGACAACCTCCACTCTCTTCCAAGAATATTCACAAGACAGCCCCAGCTAATACTGGCCTTCTCCATAGTTCAGAGACGGTCTGAAGGCACAAGGAGAACCTCTGGGTCCAAAGCCTGACAATCTGGATGGGAGACCCCTTTGGAATCTTAAAAAGTCAGTGGTTCCCAACCTTTGGTCCTCCAGGTGATTTGGACTTCATCTCCCATAATTCTTGACTGTTGGCAAAGCTGGCTGGGGCTTCTGGAGCTGAGGTCCAAAACAAACCACTGCTCTAGAGGAATGGTTCCCAAATATTTGTTGTCCAGATGTTTGGGACTTCAACTTCCAGAATTCCTGAATGTTGACCAAGCTGGCTGAGGCTTCTGGGAGTTGAAGTTCAAAACTCCTGGAAGACCAACATTTCTTTAAATGACAGCAGCAGATAAGGCAAACCACGCAGGCTAGGAACCCATTCGCTTAAGAATATAAGAAGAGCCATACTGGATGAAACAAAAGGTCTATCAAGTCCAACTTTCTGAAGAACCAGTTGCCTATGGGAAGCCTCCCAGTAAGATATGAATGAGTAGCACCTTTGTTTCCCAGCTACTGATATACAGAGGATTACAGATGATACAGAGAGGCTTACTATCTTGGATACTGCAGGCAATACATAACCATTTTAACTAGCAGCCACTGATGATCCTAACAGCAAGAAGAGGAAAATAAATCAAGGTCAATTACTAACATACTCTTCCTGTATAAAGTGCTTGAGCAAATGTGTGCTAATCAAGTCCAACTCTTGTGGACTAAACCGATTTTCTAGATTAAGTTCAATCTGATTTCAGGCCTAGATTTTGTAACATAAACTGCCTTGATTGTTTTGTGGGATAAGTTATACTAGGATAGAGTCAGAGGAAGTGTAACTCTATGCGGTATATAAATCCCACTCTTATTTTGCAGACAAAGAAATATAAGGTTCAAGGATATCGGCTTATGGCAGCTGGAAGATTCTGGCAATTCTAGTCCCCAAAAGTACATTTTCCAATGTAGTCTTGAGGACATGCACCTGAAGAAACTATTCACTCCTAGCAGCGAAAGAAAGTAGTTAAAATGTATTTTAGTAGGAGAAGAAGATATATACCTTGACAGGCTATTACACCAGTGCTAACACACAAGGTGGGTTTGTTTATAGAGGTTCACAAATACCCACCCTTGGCTCCAACTTTTCCCAACCACTTGGTCCACAGACAAGCCATCCATGCCAAAACCGCCATTTGGTGACAAAAGGAGAATGTGTGTTCATGAGCTCAGGGAGTTGTCAGAGAGTTCATGGGTTTGCTGAAGGGTTGGCAAGACACCCTTAAAAACATCCGGTGGTTGGAAAAAATGAACCTCATTCCCTCTGGCTAGTTGTCCTTAACCAACCAGTTCAGTTCATGACACTGTTATTAAAAAGGACGTACATCTTTGCAGGGCTTTATGGAGCAAGCCAAACACAGTACTTTACAGAGGTTTATTTGGGCTAAGGGTGAGAAAGAGACTTTTAAAATCTATTGTTTCTACTAATCATCATTTACAGTGTGAATTTTACACCACGCTTCTAATCTGAAAAGTAATTTGCCTTCCCTGTGGCCATCCTCATAACAACTTTATGAAGTAAATCAAGCTTATTCTTACTTTACCAGTAGGGAAGCATGAAGCTCAGACATATGGACTCTTCTTGACTCATAGATCACACAGATTATGATCCAAGTATCCATAAGAGAGGACCCAACCATACCTTTAAGCAGTGTGAGGCAACTGCCTCAGGCATTGGATGCTGACAGGCAATTGGGGCAGCTCCTACCAGGCAACCAGTCCTTCTGAGCTCCCTTACAGTTATTCCTTGTGGGAGGACAGAGCTGCCTATGCACATAGCCTGCCTTGCACATTCCAAACTAGTTTGCTGCCCTCTGATGTACAAGAAGACCCTGCCTGATCAGCACTCTTAAAGTCAAATTCAACTGGCAATCCAGTTCACTGAGGGGCACCATCTTGTCTTTTATCTCCAGCAGAAAAATGCCTTGGTCCAGTACTGCCCCTGGGAGAGCTATCCAGAAGCTACAGAATTGCTGCAGTGGTTCTTGGATAGATACTGTCGGCCTGCTGAGCAATTATGGGAAACCTCTTTCAGTTCATGGAACAACTTCAGTTTCGGGAGCCACAGTCCAGCAGTGGCCAGGGGCCAAAGCAAAAGGGTAAGACAAAAAATATTAGCATAATTTAGCCAAAAGCTTTTAGTGCTAATAACTAAGCCTTGAGAGAGGCATTTCAACCTTTTTAGAATGTGCATTTGTTGTTTACCTTCAGTTCATTTCCAGCTTATGGCAACCCTAAGGTGACCCTATCACAGGGTTTTCTTAGCAAGTTTCTTCAAAGGGTGATTGGACGTCCTACCCGCAAAGGAGGATAAGGCACCACAAAATGTAAGACAGTAAAAAAAATGTAGGACATGACCAAATAAAAGCTTAAAAAAACAATGAATATAAACGTAAATTCATGCTTCTTAGTCATGCTCAAAATGGAGGGCATTTTGGAATTCCTCCTGGGGAGATGGTTGAAATGTAGGGCATGTCCTGGAAAAGAACAACATCTGGTCACCCTGTTTCCCACTGCCATCCTCTGATGTTGAGAGAGTATGGCTTGCCCAAGGTTACCCAGTGGTTTTTCATGGCCGAGCAGAGATTCGAACCCTGTTCTCCACAGTCATAGTCCAAAGCTCAAACCACTACGCCACACTGGGGGGTATAAAATCTGGGAATCTACCAAACGCTGGTGTCATGAGGCAGCAGGAGGGGCTGTCTGGGAAATCCCAGGCGGCCAGGTTCCTCACCTCAGTTGTAGAGTAACCCGGTCCTCCCCACTGGGAGGAAAGGTTACTAGAGCAGCTGTTCCAGCACTGGATGTAGTTCTCGAACTGTTTGAAGTTCCCAGCCTCCCCAATACTGATACATGCAAATGCTATAAGATAAGCTTTATTGGCAGTATATTATGCAGCAGGTGCTTTGATCGTTCCATTACCCCCAAAATATATTCTGGATATTACAAACAATATTATGTTTGGAATTGCAAGCAATTCTCT